ATATTAGTGTTTTCAGTTTTTATTTTGTAATGTCCTACATTTTTTTCTTGAATTTCCTACATTTTTTGTGGTGCCTCGCCCTCTTTTGCAGTTAGGATATCTGGTCACCCTGAACTGGACTCTAAAACAGATATCGGTGTGTGCATATATGTATGTATGTATGTGTGCTGGCATAGTTTTTATGCTGAATCCCCAGCCTTTAAGCTAGGAAGTAGGCAACTCTGTGCCCTCAAGATATTTTTGATTACAACTCTCATCAGCCCCAGCAAATCATTAGGGATTATGTCAACTGTAATGCAAAACATCTGGAAGTCACCAAAATAGCTAGCCCTGCTTTATGTAGATCCATTAAAGGTGTGATGTCAAAAGAAAGGTCCCCTGCATTGTATCTTCTTCATGCTGGGGAAAGCTTTGCTTCATCAATTTCTGTATCTTATAGAAACACAGGCAGAAAGGGAGGGTGGGGGTGGGGGGAAGAGCATTTGTTGAATGCAAAATCACATAGATGCATCACAGCACCTTTGAGACCACCTGCTACTGACTAAGGAAATATTGCATCCACTCCAAAATGAAAGAATCCTAACAACTTACTTTCCTAAGACCAATGTAGAAATAACCATTACTCAGCAGCTTCCTGGGGAACGCTATATACAGTAAAAGATTCCATGACCCTTTAATAAGCATATTTCAAGCCCACTGATTCAATAGGACAATTTTAAATGGACGTTCAGCTCTTCCACTGATGACAATAATATTTAAAAGTGCTTAATCTTTACCAGATTGTACCCCATATGACATAGGCAAAGGGGAAAGGCAGCTTTTAGACTTGTGGAACCTGTAATAAACATAGTAGACATCATATGGATGTAGTTGCAAAAGGGGACAATAAACCAATGGCAGACTGTGGCAGGGTACATCATACCAAATTGTTGAGGTGAACTCTGCCTGCGAGCTGCCATGTGTGATCTGAGATATCAAGTCATGAACATTTCTTTGGCTATTCAAAAGGTAAAAGGAGTCCACAAATCAACTGATATCACAGAGGAATGACTATCTGATCTCTATTTAACTCTATTAAAATAATTGCCACCAGAATAACAGCAGTCACTCTCCTAAACCTGTCCCTCTGGGAGGCACTTCTTGGTCCCACAGTTTTTTTTCCAGAGGTAAGAAAAAAAGAAAGGGAGAAAATTCAGAACTGTCATAGCAGGAATTATCAGCAAACTACTTTATTGGATAAGAGCAGAGGTTGGAAAAATAATTGGTCTTTTCAACTATGATTCCCTAAATCTCTTAGCCAACCTGACAAGAGGCCATGCTGCCATTTTATTTTACTGGTATTTTATTTTATTTTATTTGGTGATCCAAAATGGGACCCAAGGGGATTCTAAGGATGAGAGTCTAAAATAATATTATTATTATTTCCCTAGCGCTGGCCATTCTCGCAATCCATTGGCTACCCAGCAAGCTGGATAGCTACTGACTGCCAGCTATAGCAGCAAATGACTGGCCAGCTATAATAGTATCATGGAGTGAGGAGTAGTTAACATTTGTTGACTTACATATAGAATTGTGTTTGAGTGACATAATCATTAAGAAGCAGGTACCTTTTCTGGGGTGGGGTAGAATTTGTGTTGCACGAATGCCACGTCATAGAAATGGCTATGAGAAATCTTATTCCGTCATCCTCTATGAACCATGCACATAACTCTAGGGCATCACAGGCAATGCCAAATCCATCTCTTGGCACAAAGACTCAATATTTGTTGCCTGAGTGCTCAAGACATGTAGGAGTGGCTAGATGGTTGAATCACTGTCTTCGTACAATTTGAGAGAAGCAAGTTTCAGACGGCACACAATTACAACTGATACCAGCCCAATGGGGATTTTTATTTTCTTTTTGGCTGAGTTACATTTCTTAAAACGTTTTTTTTGGCTGAGTTACGTTTCAGGAAAACAAAATGTAGTACTTGTAAATGCAAATTATGCTGCACAAGCACTATCATGGCCATTTTTACAATATGATGAAGTCCAATTCAACTTTTTCCAACTTGCCTCCCTTGGAAATGTTGGGAGATGTAACCCAGCACATATGAAGAGGTTAACTACGTAATCAAAGTTTAACACCTTTAAGTCCCATTGATATCACTGGGAGAGACTAAAAGCATGTTTATTAGTCTGTACTTGAAATCAATGGGACTTAAGGTTGCATAGGAGAGGAGCTTTATTTAGGAGTCAGCTCCTTTTACACAGCAGAATGAATCTAAACAAACATGGAGAGAAGCAGGGAACACAAATGACTACTTTGGCTGGATCATATCCTATGCCAACATCAATCTCCTAGTTTTACAGATTGAGAACTAAGGTTAAATGCTGGGTTAGCTAAATGTGACTATTCTGCTTGTTCATGTCTGAGGAAGGGTTTGAATGCTAGTCCTTTTCTAACTCTGCATTCATGGAAATGCACTGCTTCTAGAGTAACTAGACAGGAGGGTGAGAAAATCAGGCACTTCTTTGGTTTCAGTTAGACTCTTACATAGTTCTGTACACATATGTTCAAACCAATAGAGATTTAAACACTAGATTTGACTCATGGCAGTTTCCAACTAAGAAACATATACTGAAATTTCAGCAGAAGATAGACCAGAGCAATTATACCACCCACAATATATCTGGATCACTATCCTCTGATGTTTAGCCTATAATCAGTATTTGATCTCTCAATAAGGAGGGAATTAATGCGGAAAGCTGCGTCACAAGCCAAATGACAGCAAATAATGTTATATAATAAATTTGCCACTATAAAAATTAAACTCTGTGATAAAGAACCATTAGAGATGAAAGAAAACCCACTGTGAGAGTATCCATTTATTTATTGTTTTATTTTACAGCAAGAGTGGGTGCAAAAGTTGAAGTCCTAGACTCAGACTAGGGAGACAAATTCAAATTGCAGTCCTAACATGGATTTGCACACTGATGTGCAAAAAAAACCAAACACTTTAAATTTAAGTCTCTACCACTCAAAAAAATAATAATGCATGCTTGTTAAGAGTGCATCATCTGCAGTGCTTTGAGTTACAGTGCTCCCATTTATACAAATCCTTTGGAAGTAGAAGCCTTAAACATACACGCACAGCATTTAAGGACACAGGTAGTTTTTACTGGAAAGCAAAACCACTTCATGCAGCTCTGCAACTAGAGTTATGTCAACCTGTGCTCCCACCAAGGTTACACAGGCCTGTGTTGACAAGCAAGCCAAGAATTAACATGCTTAGTCTGCATTATTTAAATAGCCTTTTACAAGCCCAGTTGGAGACAAGTGGTGTACACTGCAAGTTTTTAAGTACACCTGAGGGAGGATCTTTCCATTTCCTTGTAAACTCCTTGCAGGGCACATGTTTAAACGGCACAAAAAAGTAATCAGAATAAGCCTGCAGCACGGCTCAAGGAAACTTTTATTTTTGCCTGTAGTTTTCAGTTCTTATGTTTTTTGGAAATCAATTTCTGGTGCCCAGTTCCCATTGATTACATGTTTTAAAGGATTTACATGTGCATTGATTTACATTTTTAAAGCATCTGGGATTTGAAAGAAATAAAAGTTCTACATTTTGTGGTGCCTTGTCCTCCTTTGCTCTGAGGACACATGGTCACCCAGTATTGGATGGCTTCTTATGGTGACCCCAAGGCAAAACCATCATGGTAAGATTTGTTCAGAGCAGGTTTGTCATTGCCATTTCAGAGTTCCTTCAATATACCTCATGAGAATCACCCAGCACCTTTAATAAATGCCATTGGGGTTCATGTCTTCCTTCCCCCCCAGGGAGGCCAAACACCTGATTATTTCACCATCCTCAAATTTTACCTTTGGTGTTAATCAGCATCACAGAAATCTTCCTGACAAGGAGTTCATTGAAACTGAAACAAGCTTGCATAGCAATATGACCTGGTTCAAGGCACACTTTTTTTTAAAAAAGACTACATGGTATTCCTTATCCTTTGGGTGCATCTACTGTAGATGGAGAGCTAGCATGGTGTAGTGGTTTGAGTGCTGGACTTCAATCCCTGAGATCAGGGTTTGATTCCCTGCTCAAGCATAAGACCCACTGTGCGACCTTGGGCAAGCCATGCTCTCTCAGCCTCAGAGGATGGTAATGGCAAACTTCCTCTGAACAAATCTTGCCAAGAAAACCCCATGATGGGGTCTCCATAAGTAAAAAAATTACTTGGACACACACAATAACAACATTGTAAAAATAATGCAGTTTTGCACCACTGTAGCTGGTGTCCTAGGGAATACCAGTTCCATAGAACTCTGGGATTGGTAGTTTTTGGGGGCACCAGTATTCTTTGCCAGAGAAAGCCTTGTAAAACTACAAATCCCAGGATGGAATAAGATGGAGCGACAGCACTGAAAGCAGTCTCAACCTGCATTATTTCTTCATTGATGATGCACCCTTTGACACACTATGTAATCCCATTGAAAGCAATGGGGATGAGAAGAGCTGCTAAGCACAAAAGCACTGAGGAAAAAGAACTGGGTGCTCTTTTTTAAGTCTTGCACCTTAAAAACAGGTTTTCTGAACAGGTTACACGTTCATATAAATTGGGTGATAAAAATAGCAAGAGCCAGAGTGATGTAGCGGTTTGAGCATCGAACCATGACTCTGGAGACCAGGGTTTGAATCCCAACTTGGCCATGTTAAACCCAGTGGGTGGCCTTGGGCAAGTCACACTCTCTCAGCCTCAGAGGGTGGCAATGCCAGACCCCCCCCCCTTTGAACAAATCTTGCCAAGAAAACCCCATGATAGGTGCACCTTAGGTTCACCATAAGAAGGCACCCAAGACTGGGTGACCAGATGTCCTAACCAGAAAGTAGGACAAGGCCAAAGCATAGGCCATTCAAGAAAAACATAGCACATTACAAAATAAAAGCTAGAGAGACTAATATAAAACAAAATAAAATAAAACAAACAATAATAAATAAATAAATAAAATAAAAGCTGGTAGATTTCAAAGATATTGCTGTTTTAGTCAGTATGGAGAGAGAGAGCTTGTAGCACCTTTGGGACTGAAGTTGGCATGAGCTTTCCTAGACTCCAGTCTACTGTGCTTGCAAATGCATCTGAGGAAGAAGTAGACCGAGGTCTAGGAAAGCTCATGCTGCCAACTTCTTCCTTTCAATGAGTCTCAAAGGTGCCACAAGATCTCTCTACTAAGGGAGGTTGTAGACTGCCAGAAATAGTGCAAATTGAGTCCACTTTTAGGGTTAGGGTTAGCGCTAGGGAATCATGGGGATTGTTGTTGTTTTTCTGAGACATTGAGCCTTCTCTGTCAGACAGCTCTGGTGCCACAATAAACTACAGTTCCCATGATTCCTTAGCCCTAACCCTAACCCTAAAAGTGGACTCAATTTGCACTATTTCTGGCAGTCTGCAACCCCCCCCTAAATAAAAGCTGGAAACACTAGTTTCATGGCTTCATAGGAGGCCATCTGCTTCTTAGGAGGACTTTTTGACATCCCTCCTGGACAGCAGGTGACAATGCGGGGCATTTCCTGGGACAGGAGGACGTGTCAAAAAGTAGCAACGGGGGGAAGAGGCCATGGCGCCCCCACTCCCTCCCTCCCTCCCTTTTACCTGCAGTTCGTGCAACCGGGAGAGCCCCTTTTTGCAGAAGAGGTCCGTGAAGAAGCTGAGGGCGCTGGGTCCAGGCATCTCCTCCAGGGTCTTGTGGCTCTTGATCACCCTGGCTTGGGACTTCAGGAGGGACTCTGGCCACATCTCCGGAAAGTACCTGGCTAGCAAGGATGCCCTGCTGGCTAGCTTGAGCGCTTGAGGCATCTTGGCTTTTCCTTTGGGAAGGAGGGAGGGAAGGAAGGAAGAAGGATGGAAGGATGCTGAGGATGCCAGCAAGGTTCTGCTGGAAGAGCATCCTTGCTCTCCTTTTATGGACCCTTTGCGCGGGGCTTCCCCCAAACTACCCGCCCTTTATGCAAATAGCGGCCCCGAGTCGCCCAATCAGGACGCGGAGGCGGGGCGCCTGGGAGACCATGTGCGCACGCTTCTTGAGTGTGTACAGGAGTCTCTCGTGTGCAAGGCAGAGAGGGGAAGAGGGCTGGGAGGAGATCCCTGCCTCTCTGGTTGTGTGCCTCCAAGTCCTTGGGTCTTTCTTCCTGGCAAGATTGGTGCAGGCAGAGGAGGCGCTTGGATAGGCAGAATAGCCTTTTAAATAAATAAATAAATAAATAAACAAATAAACAAACAAACAAAACCACTCCTTAAATGTACTAAATTCGAGAGTACAAACAAGAATTGCATAAATCTACAATCCGATCCATCCCTGGAAATGGTAAAAGAGCCCCGAAATAGGAACCAAGGCTGCTACATTAAGAGACAGCAGGAGAGGCAGCAGGAATGGTGAAGCTTCTGGTTTAAAAAGGCTTAAGAAATCCTGTAGCAAATTCTAGCAATGAGTTATAACTGTTAGTGATCGTAGGGTGGTAATAATAATAATAATAATAATAATAATAATAATAATAATAATAATATTCTGTCTCACCCCATTATCAACAAATATCAGGGCACCATGTAAGTAATATCAATACAAACAGGTTAAAGCAATAATAATAATAATAATAATAATAATAATAATAATAATAATAATAATAATAATAATAATAATAATCTCAATAGACTAAACACTTGATTAATAAATTAAACCAGTTGTTAGAGATTAAAGCAGCCTAGAAGCATTTTGAGATAAATCAATTTTGTTTAGATGATATGTTAATCACATCTGTATCAATATCTAGACGTGTGTGTTTATTGTTGTTCCTCAGTGTGTGTGTATTATTTGTTGTTTCAAGTCCTTCATTAACTCTGTTGCCCTCCACAAACAACAACAAACCAAGATGTCTAGATATGTAGATATATAGCCAGTGTGGTGTAGTGGTTTGAGCATTGGACTATGACTCTGGAGACCAGGGTTTGAATTCTGGCTCAGCCATATAAACACACTGGGTGATCTTGGGCAAGTCACGCTCTCTCAGCTTCAGAAGGTGGTGAGGCAAACCACCTCTGAAGAATCTGGTCAAGAAAATCCCATGATAGATTCTCCTTAGGGTCACCATAAGTCAGAAATGACTTGAAGGCACACAACAATCACATATCTCCCTATTTTATACACACACACATATCTCCGACATTCCTATCTCATTGTCATTTAAGGCAAGAATTGTTTATAGCAGGGGTAGGCAACCGAAGGCCCGGGGGCCGGATGCGGCCCACCAAGACCTTTGGACCGGCCCCAGGCCAGTCCTGCTGCCGCTGCTGCCGCCGCCGACCGCCATGATGATATTGATTATTGTTGTTATTACTTGTTCTGGGGTTTTCTTGGAAAAATCTCCACAGGGATTTTGCCATGGCTTTTCTGGGGCTGAGAAGGTGTGCATGCATTTTTTAAATTTTTTTTTTAAAAAAAATATTTTATTTATTTATTTTTGGTGCTTCGGCCCCCCCAATTGTCTGAGGGACAGCAACCCGGCCCCTGGCTCAAAAAGGTTGCCTACCCCTAGTTTATAGCATCAAAGTAGTCAGATCTTGACAAAGTAAGCTGTACATATGAAAATGACCAGAGGAGGGCAACAGAGTTTATGAAGGTCTTGGAGATCTTCTGAGAAAATGTAGAAGGAAATGGTTATGCTTAGCCCAGAAAAGAATGAAACAGGGCTATTACATAGAGCTGGATAGCAATCAATTGGAGATCTATTGGTAGCAATTAAATTGAGATTTCTGGCAATTTACAATAAATTGAAAGGGATTTCTAGCTCCAAGAACCCAATGAAGGGTTTGAAATGAAGAGAGCTTAGTGTGACAGATTGCAGATTTTTGTGTGAAAGGACTGTAGTGTGATCTGTCTTCATTCAGTCGGTACTAAAAAAACCTAAATTTCTGGCCCTAGAATTCTTTCCTTCAAAGTGTGCTTCTCGGTAGATTCTGGGATCCAAGAGAAAACAAGAAATCTTGTATGGCTGAAGTTTGCTCACCTGACAGTGGCTGCATCCACACTACCAAAATAATCCAGTTTGACACCACTTTAACTGACATGGCTCAAGGCTATGGAATTCTGGGCTATGAGTTAAAATGGTGTCAAACCAGACTATTTCAGCGGTGCGGGTGCAGCCAAAGAGAGGATAGTGCAAATTTGTTCCCCCTGGCTTAAAGGATAGGATCCAAATCAACCCACTGAAATTATATGGGAGAAAAGTGTATATGTGTTACTAAACAGTAGGAAGTCCTCCCTAATGGTGTAAACTCTTCCTCCCTGGAAGGAGATGGACTCTAAGCAAAGGTTGGCCAGTTATTATCAAGAATGCTGTAGTAGATTTCCTATGATTCCATGAATAATTGAGGTGCTCACAACTGGAGTAATAAGGGAGGAATATCTGATTGAGTTGAACCACCTAGAGCTCCCATTTCTGCAGAATCCATGTGCGTGTGGCGTACACAGCCATCACTTGAATATATTCAGAATCTGTTCACATTTCCCCAGAACTGATGTCATTTGTGCATCCAGGTTTTCTGGAGAAATCCAGTCATCATCATGGTTAAACAATGCATTCCTGGGTTCTGCTGTTAGCCTCTTGTGACCCAGTTTGTGACCATTCGTTTGAATTTCAACACATTTGCGGCACATGAAGTGACAAACAACTCATTTTTTCCCCCAGTCATATTTATTCATTTAAAAACAAGCAAACAAAAAAGCAACAACAAAAAAACCAAGCACAAACTATATCCATGTGTATGTTAATTGTCTATATCTCTTGACAAAATCATATATATATTGACTAACCAACTATAAACAAAGAGAGAAATAAAAAAACTCACCTGAACAAAATAAAATAATATTAATGGTAATAATGATAATAATAAAAAATTAACTTTCATCTTGAAGTCGATTTTAAATGTCCTTTTGAATTATCTCTCATTGTTACTTTTCTCTCATTTTTTCTGTTTTGTTCAACACTTTCTGTTATTATTTACAAAATCATATTATTATATGTATCTTAATAATGTATCTATTTTGATCCTTCTG